ATGTATTTTTCCGCTGAAAAATATTTCCTCGCATGTATGTATATACGTGTGGTGGGGTTTGTGTCAAATTATGATAGGTAAAAATTATTATTATTTATATTTAATTTTAAATTTTTGAAAAAAAATAAAAAACTGGTGGGTTTATTTGTTATATTTAAAGCTGGTTATTTGTTTGTTTTTGGTGACTGTGTATATGTAACAGGTAGAAATTTGTAATCCTTATTGGTTAATTTATATGGTGATGTTTAATATTCAATGTGCTGGGTGAGAGGGTAGTTCAATTTAATAACGGGTCTATATGATATGATGTGATAGTAATGTTTCAAGGGATTGGAGACAATGATAGTTAGCTAATAGTTGTTGTAAATTGGTAGGATTTGTAAATTGGTAGAAATGATTAGTAAAGGTGGTGGGAGAATGATAAAACCATGAATGTAGTTATAGTGGTGGTAGCTTGAACTAAAAAGTGGTTGTTGGTGTTTTATTTTATTTTTTATATGTATTAATTTATTTTGATATAAATCCTGATAATAGGTATTCTGTGTAAACTTATGGTAGTTGAAGATTGCTATAATTTTTAATTTTTAATTACAAAATTATTATTGTTATTATATTACAGCTGCCTGGTAATAGGTGTTTATTCTCATGGTTACATATGGAAATTATATCTGATCATATTGTTTTAAGGTATTAAATATGCTGGGGGAGTAATAAAGATTGGAGTGGATTTATATGTTAATAGTGGGTGTGATGTGTAAGTGATGGTGCTGTGTGTTGGTGGTAATGATAATATTGTTAGTTAATAGATATTGTAATATTTGGAAAGTGCCTGAAAATCATACCATGGGTTGACCCAAGCCTTGTAAGAGAAAATGGCTAGACGGAACCCTTGGGGCCCGTTGTTAGATGTGCTAGCACGAAGTCCCAAGACATCGAGGTTTTGAGTGCGCTGGCTTTGTTCAGATTGTTGGTCACGCTAGATAACATGCTCTCTCCCAGAAACCGTAACTAAGGTCTGCTCAACATAGTTGCAGTTGCAGTGGATGTTGAACTATCACAAATGTGCCTGAGCGAATGTCTGTAATAGGAATTGGCTAAACCGCTCTAATAAACGGGTATGCTCGAATACGAGTGGCCAACTATTATATATATATATATATATATATATATATATATATATATATATATATATATATATGAAAAACAATATTTCTTACTCTCCTGTTTATAAATAACAAAATAAAATCCTTGCATTTGCCTTGATAAAGTCCATCAGGGGATGAAACCTGGCGGCTAAGATAAGTTTTTCTTTTGTCTGTATTCATATTTTCTTTTTAACCATATGTTTTTCGCTATATTAGTATTTTTACCCACTCACAGACACACATACATACATAGGGTATGTTGGTTAAACTGTCGCCATCATATATTTTTAATTTCGTGCATGCGCGTTGTTTGTTTGGTATTTTGTTGACTGCACAGTCAGTAGGTAGGGTCAGTTGGGCAGCGTCTGTAAGAAAAAAGAGCCCCATTGAAGCAATTCACTTCACCAGCAATTTGGAAGCAGCATGTTATATTGCATGGCTTTCACGCCGGAAGCTCCAATACGAACAGGGTTGTGGGGTGTCAATCTGAGGACAGTGCAAAGGATTCGGAAAGAGTTGGATGATATATCCAGTTAGCATTATGGTGTTTGGAGTGATCATTAGTGATGGCGACGTTATTCCTCCATTCATCTTCCAATAGGGCCTTAGACTCTACACTGAGGTGTTCATCAAGTGCCTTGAGGAAGTAGTGCTGCTCTGGGCCAAGAGGGTGGCTACTGGGAGACCATATGTATGGCAACAAGACTCTGCACCATGTCATACAAGATGCCAGACAAGATCTGCGACAATATCACACCTTACATCTGTCCAACTAAATCCCCAGACTACAAACTCCTTGATTATTATTTGTGGGGCGCAATTGAAGGAGAGACCACAAAACTCCTTTTAACACCAAAGATAAACTGAAGGCAAGGATTATAGCAGCATTCAACAACTTAAACAAGGAGACCGTCCATAAGAGTTTCAGGAGATTCCGAAGTCGTCTGGAAACCATGGTTGAAACCAATAGTGAATTTATTGAATAAAATTACTGAAACTCTGTAGTTTCAAGATGTTTTTTTTTTGTAATTTTGGTAAATATATCAGTTAAAATGAGATGTCTGTTTTATTTTCATTTTTGCGTAATTGAGACGACAATTTATCCATTGCCCCTTTAAACATAGATTTCATTCTGAAGCTTGAAATTGACTGCTCGATTTCGTTTCATAAGGTAAACAAAACAATTTGTGAAGAAAGTGATATATTTTTTATTTATTAATTCGATAGACTTTTATTACTTAAGCCCTATTTTTAGTGGATGCTCTTATTTTATTTATTTATTAAACAGCATATATATATATATATATATATATATATATATATATATATATATATATATATATATACTAGTGTATCCAAAAGAAAATTGATGGCAAGAAGGAATGTATTATAAGTAATATATATTATATTGTAAGTAATCTTTGTTTAATCCAAGTAACGTTTTTTTTTCTGTGTAACATTTGAGGGGAAGTGTACAAAATAACGATGACCCACCTGCCCAAATTCAATTATATTTGTTTTGGGAAAGAAAAAAGAACATTAGTTAAATAAAAATTACGAGAGACAGACATGAGTTATGGGCAACATTAGTCGTGTTGAATATTTGTTTTACAAATTTAACTATATTTTATTTTCTTTTTAGGGCCAATTAGGAAGAAATAAATATAATTTATGTACGTATGTGAGAAACAGTGAAACATTACATTTTCTCTTTCTCTTGGTCGGCTGGGTCATCGCTTGCATAAAAGAGTCAGTACGTGTGCGCGTGTTTTTAATAATAGTAGGGAGATACATGAGATAGTTAAAATTTAGTTCTTACTGTGTCACTGTTGTTTGGGGGTGGTCTCTTTGTAGTTTTCAGTGCGCTAGCTTTTTGCATGTTGATGTGAATGGTAGTCTTAACTTCTGTGAATCTCATGTAAAAATTTTGTAGACTGCTCCTCAATTATTACATACAAATATATATATATATATATATATATATATATATATATATATATATATATATATATATATATATATATATATATATATATTATAATTAGTGAACCTGAACTACCAAAATTGATGGCAAGAAGGAATGTATTATAAATAATATGTATTATATTGTAAGTAATTTTCGTTTAATGCAAATACAATTTTCTAATTTAAAATAGTTCGTTATTAGCGTTAATAATTGAAAAGTGTACAATTTATAAACGCCTCGGGAAAGATATTTTATTTTATCGTCATTTTGTGCGTCCCTGCGTGCACAGCTTTGGTACGCGCGCGTTTGTAACACACCTTGAGTGTTCTCGAGTGTCAAATTCACTGAGAAATTAGAATATCATTGCTAGTGATAGTAGATGCCACAATCGGAGAAAAGTAACTTTATGTGAAATTTAATTCAAGCAGAAATAAAACATAAACCTCGATCAAGTTTTGTTTGGCATATATTTATCTCGTCTCTCTATCCCTTTCCATTCCCCCCTCTCTTTCTTTCTTTCTTTCTTTGCAGTTGTGTATTTCTTTCTTTTTGTGGTTACTGTCCATCACTCCTTTTGCTTTGATCGTAGTTCGCAGAGAGAGAGAGAGAGAGAGAGAGAGAGAGAGAGAGAGAGAGAGAGAGAGAGAGAGTTTCTCAGCGCGGTAACTTTTTGCGTGTGGACATTAAAATATTGCACATCAGATAACGAAGAAAAATATACATAGGAGTAACTGAAGGACCTTGGAAACAAAGTCACTAAACACACAAAATATCTTTCTATAGTAAATATGCCAACAGCACAATGCTTTCCAAGTATATCTGCGAAATAAAAAAAAATAAAAGCATGGAAAAATAATGAGAAGAATATCAGTCTATACAATCAACCCAAAAACTGCAAAATCTCCTTGAGGGAAAAATAGCTATAATTACCTTCTCACGCCAAAACAAACTACTAAATAAACGATCTGAACTTATCTCAAAATGCAGCCAAATTTTTACTACGTTACTTAAAAATTGAAAACTGAAAATAAATAAAAGTAAATAAAAAAAGATAAATAAGCAAAAACAAGTAAAATAAATTGATCCAAATAAACAAATAAAGCAAATAATATATAAATTAACAAACCACACTCACCAAAATAACCTACAATATATACAGTACCCGTAATGCACCACTAACCCGTATATATAAATGGTTGAGAAAAAACACAACACGTCTGTTGATTTCTGTTTAACATGAAACAGTCTATTGCGCCTGAGTGTTGACTTTATTGTTCACACACACACACATATATTAAATCCAATTGTCATATATTTTTTAAACTTTAGCGGTACAACAAATTAGATGCGGGTCTCTGTTGTCAGAAAATAGGGTAACAACTGTAAGCCAATCTAAGCAACAATAATAATCCCATTTATCACAGTCCACGCACATCGCTGTATTTTTGTACTTTTGACTTGAGAATGTTTGAATGAGAAGTTAAAAGAACTGGACATTAGTATAACAACAGAACAATATCTACAAAATGCTACAGATCCAGGCATCTAACTTTTTGGAAGTTGAAAGTGCAAAAGAAAGTAAAAGGAAGGAATCTGTTCTCTGAATTCAGAGAAATATTTGAATGGAGAAGATCAAATCCGTCAGTCTATGTTAGGATTATGAATGTCAGTCAAAAGTTGCGTTGTACAAGATAATAACCCTTTCTACAAAGCCGGATTTCTAAAGAATTCTTTGGAATAAATATGATATTAAATATGGGTAACTCGTGAGGCTTCTGGCTATCTCAGGCTGAAGTCATTCAAGTGTTTACGGAATACGGCGGAGAAGTAGGCTTGGAATTGAGTTGAACGCACAAACCAATTAGCAACAACCTTTGAACTGGACAGAGATGAAATTAGTAGGAATCCCTACACGGACTTTCGTTCATGTAGCGATTAATTCAGAACATTATGGGGAGGGAACGAGAGCAATCGGCCATCAGCTGCATGAAATCAATAAAGCAGAGATCGAAAAGGGACGCTGGTATATATCTCTTTGCTCAGAAATGCCCTTTGGCATCAGTGCCAATTATCTATCTATCTATCTATCTATCTATCTATCTATCTATCTATTTCAGTCTGTTCATATCTACCTCACTCTGTCCATATCTATCTATCTATCTATCTATCTATCTATCTATCTATCTATCTATCTATCTGTTCATATCTGTCTATATCTTTATCTATCTTCTATATCTATCTATCGTCTATCTGTTTCTCTTATATCAATCCCTAATCTACCTTTTACTCTAACCGTATCCATATTGCTCTATTTGCCAATAGTCAGACGTCAACTTAAAAACCTATGCATCTTTCAGAGTCGAGTTTGTTATTTTCGTCCCTCACAGCATTTTCTATGCACTCGATCTCATACCAATTGGATGCCATTAGGTTGCTAACGACAAAAAAACCCCAAAAAAACAAAAAAAAAAAAAAAAAATGCTGATTTTATATTGTTCTCTTCATCTTGAAATAACAGAGCGAAACACAATTTTGACGTCATTGTTTCCTCTGCAGAAAGCTTCAAGAGATTCCACACTATAAAAGTTTCCCTGATTTTACTCGCGTGTCATTCTGTTCCGGAAGTTGCTAGTTCTCCTGAAATCTAACCCGCACCCGCCCGTTGCCTCTTGCGTAGCGTTATTCATGTCTTTAATGTCGACAGGTGGTGGCAGTGAAAAACCGCCATATTTTCCTTGACGTTATGCCAACAAGTAATGAAAGAAGAATTGCGCGTATGTCGTAAGAGAAACTGCTGACAATGTGAATTCAATGTTTGCACGTATCCAAAATCATCAATGCTTATCTACTCTTTCGTAAGGGGGCAATTAAATGTATTTTATGTTTATAGCAATCTTCAAAGACGCAAACCCAAATATACAATCACAAAAATGCACACACGCATACACACACACACACACATATATATATATATATATATATATATATATATATATATATATGTATGTATGTATACACACACATACCACATACTTGAATGAAGGCATAGTGCAAACATTCACTCATAGAATTTAATAAACGCTTTGGGACGTGAATAGAAATACACGTTCGTAGAAGAAATAAGCACTCATAAATGCAAGATTCTATATTTCTATTAAAACAATATATATATGAAATGGACAAAGTCCGACAATTATTTTAAGACATTTTTAAATGTTTATACATTCTTTTTATAGATACAAACATTTAAGTAAATGCTCTGTTTTATAATAAACAGTATTAATAACATTTACCGGCCTGAAAATATGCGTCCTCCGACAGGAATCGAACCTGTATCCTATACAGAACCGTCATATAGCCTGACGTGCTTTTACCGATTGAGCTGCAGAGGAGCGTTTCGGTAAGAAAGGTCGATTTTACTGTTTTTAAACTACAGTTCCCCATGAATTTCTCTCGTACATTCATATCTGCTCGATGCGTATCCAAATGTAAACAAAAGACGTTACACATTATGAAATGGACAAAATCCGACAATTATTTTAAGACATTTTTTATGTTTATACGTTCTTTTTATGAAAATTTCTCGGACATTCAGGCCGGTAAATGTCGCTAATACTATTTATTATAAACAGAGCATTTACTTAAATATTTGTATCTATAAAACGAACGTATAAACATAAAAAATGTCTTAATATATATATATATATATATATATATATATATATATATATGTGTGTGTGTGTGTGTGTGTGTGTGTGTGTGCAAAACTTCAGCTATAACTAAGAATATATCTGAAAAAGGACAATATGAATAAAGACAAAAGATCTGTCTTATCAATTTCTTTCATAAAGCCTCCCCGCTTACGAGAACGAAATGCATGGACTAAGATCATTGGGTTTGTATACATAATGACAATATTAATGATCAGTATAGATATTTTCAAAAGGATATAAATCCAGGGAGAGCTCAATGCCAGAGCAATAATTTTTATTATAAAAGGCACAAACACTAAAATTTCATGTGGTTATATTCATTTCATTAGGGCCTTTAAAAGCGGCCCCAATGCCTCAGACATTCAAATCCAAAAGGAAACAGAAATCCAGGTTTAAATAACAAAATTTATGTAAATGTGTATACGGGGAAAGTGGAGGAAAAAGTTGGAAAGAAAGATTTAGAGTGAGGAGTGGAAGTAAAAATATAGAAAGACACATATCTACATTATTTGGACTATTGTCTTCATCTTTGTCGCCATATTTATCACAACGTTTCGGCCATTGGAATTTCGAACTGAACCCTTTATTTCTGCCTGCCTTATATGAAGGGGTTTTCAGAGAAAATACAAAGGATCTGCGGTCCATATAACATCAGGACAACCTTCAAAAGCTTGACGACATTTCGCAGATATCTCTCCCGATTGAGACTCCCGATAAAAGGAGAACATGACTAAAAACTGTGTGTACGCTATCCCGTGTAGTTGCGGAAAGGAATATAAAGGAGAGACAGACCGCCCCCTGAAGGTAAGGCTTCAAGAACACCAGAAATCTGTAACACGAGGGGAAGTGGAAAAATCAGGCGTGGCTGACCACATATGGAGAGAGAAGGGAGATCACCGCCCTATGTGGGATCATGTTCAGATCATGGACAAGGAACACCATTGGAAAATTCGTAAACTTAAGGAATCAGCACATATGTTAGGCCAGAGAAATCTCCTGAGCCGACCAAGAAAATAGAAATAAATACAATATAGGAACCAGTAATAAGGAGTGCCAGTTGCAATATGAGCTCTGGTAAAAAATATGCAATGATAACAGCAAAATTGCAATATGAGCACTGGTAAAATGATTGCTGAGGACATTAAGTTTATAATACGACGATTGTATCTAGCATGTTCAATATTCACTTTTATATTTATATTTACATACGCTCTCTCCCTGATATTAAGCAATTTATCCTATAAATATAGCACACTTTAAAACTATATATATATATATATATATATATATATATATATATATATATATATATATATATATCTTTCATTTTAACTACATTTAAGGATTTTTGTTTGTTTTTTCAAAATTTCTTCATTCTGTCGGATTTATATCCATTTACACTTGCTTATATATATATATATATATATATATATATATATATATATATATATATATATATAGATAGATAGATAGATAGATATATTAGTGAATATACAAAATATCCAAAGCCGATAACCCTACTCGGAGTTTCATGCACTTAATGCAATCTTCAGGTGTAGAGATTCTGATCGTTATCTATCGGTATTATCATGATGACAATTTATAATTATCTGTACAAACTTGTCTAATTAAAATATAGTGTTAATTATTAATAATTTACATCTTTCAAATTCATAAGTGCGAAAGCCAAAGAATTAGGAATAATAAATAATAAAAAAAAATTTAACTTTGAATTTGGATTCGAAATTAAACAAAATATCAAGAGGGTAACTCTCGTTATTTTTAGTATGAAACTTTCACCAATACTCACATTTAAACTAAAGGTTTGTTAACTTGAAGAATCCAATGAAAAAAAAAGTCAATGGTAACCATTTCTTTTTTTGTCGGTGAAACGTGGTAAGATTCTATTTTATTCAACAAATTTTACAAATTAACTAACTTAATATTGTTTTTTAAACTGAACGACGGAAGAATAAAAATTCGATTCTTTGGGGACTGATTCCTGACGTTATTTCAACAAAAATATATATTTTTTATTTTATAAATATATCAAAGAAATATAGATAGGAATATTCGGTGAAGGGGTGTTTAAAAAATGATGATGATAAGTGATTTAGTTAGATTTTGGGAAGTGGATCGGGCCAAGGAATAGAAGTTTTCCCTGATTTGGGAATAAAAATGATTCGGATATTTTAGTCCTTAAGGAAGCCGCGTTTTTCATGGCACACTCATATACCAGGACACTTCAAACTGCGACATACAACATCAAACATTTTCATATCGATTTTATTCATTCATATATAAAACTGGTTTTTTCTTTGACCCGCGAAAATGTGTCAAATAAAACATGGCGGTTGTCGCAGTGAACAGTTTGCAAATCGTTGCTTTATACGATGCTATTCTTTATTTGCAATTAATATTACGACTTGAAAGTTTAGTCGATACAGTATATGATCTTTTTTCATAGAAGACGATGTTTAAATGACTGATTAAAAAAAAATTAAAATAGGAATGATAGAAATGAGATAAATAAAAAGTAACTGGAGCGCTTGGAGATTTCTGTCGAATGATCTGCTTAAGTAATATTCTGGCTTAAAACAGAATAATATCCAGGATCGATTTTCTTCAAAGAGTTAAGATGTTTTGGGAGAGAAAAGCGAGCAGTCAATTAAAGATTTGACAAATGGTAGCACCTTCAAAGACAAAAGCCGAAAACAAGAACATTTGAATCAATGAGTAAAAAGGGAAATTAAGAACAAATCAGAAAACTTTGTTCATTTTTTTAAATTGATCAAAAATCGATTGAGATAACTTTATGAAGTCTTCATAAAGGCAGAAATTTGGTAAAGAGAGAGAGAGAGAGAGAGAGAGAGAGAGAGAGAAAGAGTGATGGGGAGAAGAGTTAACCAGAGGAGAAAATTGATATAATTGCATTGTTATTCAGTGTAATTAGAATTTAATACATATATGCGTATCTATCAAGTTTCTTTGGTGGCTAAATTAGTTGGTCATACTTCGATATTTTCAAAAAAATTGGCCCTTTTCTCATTTTTACGATTGGCTTATGATAATCTCTATTCTACAACCACTTGAAATACTGATATATTTGTAAAATCTGGCATAATTATATCATATATCTAGTTATCACAGTCTCTCTCTCTCTCTGTCTCTCTCTCTCTCTATATATATATATATATATATATAATAATAATATATATAATACTATATATATATATATATATATATATATATATATATAGTATTAAATCCCAAATTACCTAATCTGGAGTATAGATCTATTTCCACCGACGAAAACTTCGTCAGTCTTATTGAACCCCAGCGTATAGACTGAATTTGTGTCAGAATTATAAATTTAACTGTAAATCTCGAATTTCGACAGAACTCAGTCCATACACCGGAGCTGAATAAGACTAACGAAATTTTCGTCGGTTGAAATAGATATATCCCGCCCCATATGAGGTAACTTTGGATTTTGTTGTGTCATCCTGTTTATTAGCTCTGTTATAATAAATACATTGAGCTCTTTTTGTGGATCAGTTTTAATATTTTATATTATTAGGATCCACTTGGATTATATATCAACGGATGTATTACTTGTACCATATATATATATATATATATATATATATATATATATATATATATATATATATATATATATATATATTTGTATATTTAGGCAGCAATCCTTCCTTTATGCATGTTTCATTAAAACGACAGACAAGTTACTACTGTTGAGCTTTTTATTTAATTTTTCTTGTGTTCTGACAAGAGCTTTCTTTTCTGGACAAAGAGTGTGTAAGAACTGTCCGAATGTTCTGTATTTCCGAGCGCTTTCGGCTATACCTTTAGCCATGATCAAGGATGATTCAATTATCAGCTTAGTAGAGTGTGTGTGTTCTGTGTATGTTCAGTGTGTGGTAGTGATGTTTTAGTTTCCGAATACGGTTAGCACATTGTGGCTTTGTTCATAGTTAATATTGTTAAGAGTTGGCTTTTTTTTTTTTTATTATTAGAGCTTCCATTATTTTTAGTCTTTTTTTTTTTTGCAAGTGGATGCAGTTAATATATTTGTGTTTTCTGCTAGTATGTTCCTAATAGTGTCGGGTAAATCTGAGTGTGTGTTTAAATGTGTTCTGATGGAACTGTGATCAGATAGGTGTAATGTAAGACGTCTGGATAAACATGTGGTTGTGTAGCCGATGTAATTATTTATGAGTCCGGTTTGGTGAGGAACGCAGTTCCTTAAAGGGCATTTGAACTCATAGATAATGTTTGTTCTTTGTAATTTTGACTTAGTTGGTGTGTTGTTATTTTTGAGCATAAGGTTGGCCGTCTTAAATTTTTTATAATAGATAATAAGTTTGATTTTTTTTATTAGGATCACATACACATTTATTACAAAAACCAAATGCATATTAATTACAAACAAGATGAATCTTCTCTAAGACATATTATAAAGAAATATACTACTCCTATTGATCCTATATATATATATTAGACCATCCATTCAAAGGATTTAACGTTGTTGGGGTTTTCACGATTGCTGTTCGAGTTCGAGACTTTCTCTGGATAAGAGTTTCAGGTCTTTACTTTTTTAATATATATATATATATATATATATATATAGACATGCACACACATATATGTATGTGTGTGTGTATGTGTGTGTGTATGTCTGCGTATATGTCTGTGTATATATCTGTGTATATGTGTGGCTGGGTGGGTGTTTGTGTGTGCGTACGTGTGTGTGATTAGCATGATCTTTTAAGTGGCTGAAGTAGCAGCGTTTTTCTGCTTGTATCAGAAATCAATATTCTTTTTAAATCTGAATTTGAAAGAAGACTTGCAGGATGACTTAACAAGGATCATTGGCACAACGCGACCTACCAACAACCTGGCTGATCTTTTGCTGGACTTTCTATCTATCTATCTATCTATCTATCTATCTATCTATCTATCTATCTATCTATCTATCTATCTCGCTTTTCTAACTCCGTATTAAAATGTTCAGCTAATTGAAGAAAATGCGTCATCCCACTCTTAATTAAAAGACACTCGGTTATTAAATGCAATCAGAAAACCAATTAATTTCCTTCCCTCTCTTCCCCCCTAACCGGAAGTGTAATTACCATGTCACGATCAAAAGGCTTCTCCTCTTATCGTAGCCAATCGAACGTCTTTTGAATCGTCGCCAAAGCACACTGGTTGTCACATACTAGTCCAATCAGCTTAATTGAAGTCAAGTGGACATGGTGAAGATTTCTTTACTGACTGTCGTCTGTTGGATAAAGGCAATTAAGAATTTTTCGGAGATATTTTTTCAGTAAACATCCGTAAACAAAGACATATGACTAACGACAAATTCACAATTATTTTCTCAGATTTAAACTTAACAAACGGTACAAAGTGGCTTAATGGTTTGCAGGAAGTAAAACAGAATCGACAAAGTGAGTTTTGATTTCGAATGAAAATGCGTTTGTTTACTTCCCATTAATATCGGTTTGAAATGTATGAATCAGGCAATTTCTACGACTGTTAGATTTCCATATCCCTTGACAAAAATCTTGTCACTGGTTTGGCAGGGTAGTTGACGATGAATAGGGATCACTTCGATTAAACATTCTTTATTGATATCGTTAATATTCTATCTCGTTTGTTAATTGAAAAGAAATGGACGCTGCCAAGTAATTCTCTTTCCTATAGGGACGCCATGAATAGCAAGACAAACATGGCCTCTTGGGGATTTGCTAGGCTTATAAATTTAAAAGCAATTTAATATATGAGAGAGACGAATTCATTATCTTGTAATATATATTTTCATTTATTTGCTGCTAATACATCTACAATTAAATATCTATCTATCTATCTATCTATCTATCTATCTATCTATCGATCAAATTATATACATACTTTGTTATTAACAGCTATTTTTATTGTTTGAAAGATATTGAAGAATCTATTAATGAATTAATTTACCGGAATTTATGTGCTATAGAACCCCTCCCACATCACACATCGTTTACATTTACAATTATGGTGTTAGAGTATGTAAAATTACTTGTGGTCGATGGCGACCAGGTAGACCTTAGATCAGTGGTTCCCAACCGATTTTGGGCTATGTCCCACTTTGGTATTTCTAAAATTCTGCCCCCCTCTAAAATTTAATTATTACGTATTCAAAGTTTTACTGCAATTCACA